CATACCGTGAGTTAGCGGACTGTGGAATGATGTCCAAAGTGTACATGACTGAGGGTAATTTGGTTCCATTAAAGAACAATAAATTGATAATTTTGATATCATATTTTTGATTTATTTCCATCATTTTTGTTATATGTAAACAGGGACAACTGTCATTGTGTAAATGTCACCCCTCTGCAAAAAGTTCCGATTTTTTTCAAGGAAGATAACTCTTACCCGGATCGAAGTGATTGTAAAATGTAAAATAAATTAATTATAAAGCCATTGTGTATATTTTGTTCAATTTCCCATTCTATATGTATAGATCTTTGTGTCCTGTTGGCTTTTAGCTTGTAGATAATCACTTTTATCCGTTCAAATTCAATAAAAAACACTTTGTGTAACATGTGTTACATATTTTGCGATAAATAAAATATTTGTAGGGTTAATTAGAAATGCTTCTTTTCATTTTATTATTGTTGTTATTGTTCCGAACAATGTCACACCCAAAAAAAACCCGGAAAATATTAAAATTGACGAAAATTCAATTTTTTGGTATTTTTTCCATAAAAGTCCCCTAACTATCGGAGTGTTTAGATTTTCATAAAATCAACTCTACATAGTTGCATAACCATTATATGAAAGTTTCAACGAATTTCGCTGGTTAATTACGAAAGTGTGGAGCCACCTTAAGCACCACCTGTTTCTGAGCTTAGCACCACAGGCCATATCACAGCAACTGTGGTATATACAGACAGTCTGATGGTATGATTCAAGCACCACAGCTGTTTCTGAGCTAAGCACCACAGGCCAGATCGCAGCAAATATGGTGTATACAGTCTGATGGTATGATTTAAGCACCACCTGTTTCTGAGCTAAGCACTACAGCCCATATCACAGCAAATGTGGTGTATACAGACAGTCTGATGGTATATTATAAGCACCACTAGTTTTAAAGATAAGCACCACAGCCCATATCACAGCAAATGTGGTGTATACAGACAGTCTGATGGTATAATATAAGCACCACTAGTTTTAAAGATAAGCACCACAGCCCGTATCACAGCAACTGTGGTGTATACAGACAGTCTGATGGTATGATTTAAGCACCACCTGTTTTTTTAGTTTAGAGCTACAGCCTGTATCACAGCGACTGTGGTGTATACAGACAGTCTGATTGTATAATTTAAGCACCACCTGTTTCTCAGCTAAGCACCACAACCCGTATCGTAGCAACTGTGGTGTAAACAGACAGTCTGATGGTATAGTTTAAGCACCACCAGTTTCTTGGCTAAGCACCACAGCCCGTATCACAGATACTGTGGTGTATACAGACAGTCTGATGGTATGATTTAAGCACCACCTGTTTCTGAGCTTTCAACACAGACCACAGCCCGTATCACAGCAAATGTGGTGTATACAGACAGTTTGACGACACATTTTAGAAATAAGACTTTTTTTTCTAAAACAACAGAACAAAACACAAATGGTGTGTATTGCATACTAGCATTGCATGTGTTTATTCTCAAGATCAAAAGCTATATTGATTCAAGAATTTATTAGCCAATAAAATGTCCACACATGGCGTTACTTATAGTCAAATATAACACATATGAATATGACAGTCTTTTGCTCAACTGGTGATTACATTGCATAACAAAATTAATTTGACGATACTGTAGAGCAATGTTTTATATGCTTTTACACGGCATTGTGCTCTTTTTGTAACGATACTCTCGGTTCAACTCACATACGTCTTTCAAATGTACAACTCTAGTGATTTCCGCAAAGAAGACAAGTCCATATCGGTTTTAAAAAGGCAGAAATTGTTGAAAATACAGGAACCAACTAGCGATTGCATTGTTTACATGCAGGAGTACGCAGGTTCACAAAGGCGTTAACCAATCAGATGGTGGTTCTTAGTTTGGTTCTAGCTGGCTTTCGCCCCTATATTATTCCTCTCATCCTTCGATCACGCGGGCCTAACATTCTACTTGGCGGCGTTGGTATTTTCTTGCTAGAATGTTGAGGCCTGTCCGGTGTGCTCATCCTCTGCCTTCCCGTCAATATAGTAGGTGACAGGACAGCTTCTGAATAGGTTGTAGGTTTAGACTCAACCGTTGCCGATATCTGCTTATTAGGAAGTGATGTTGTATATATATATATATATATTATAAAAAGAAAAATTCTTAAAAACGAGTCTTTAGTAGTTTCATCTCTTCCAGGAGATTCTTCAGACTCCTAGAAGAGATGAAAGTACTAAAGACTCGTTGTTAAGAATTTTTCTTTTTATAACATTTCTTCATCCGTAAGGATCATTTTTCTGATTTATAATATATATATTTGAATTGTTTTATTGAAACCTTTTCTGAAATTCACTTGTGTTTCGTACACCTGATAAGTCTGTCATACTCGTATAATACATATACAATGTAGGATATCCTTCAGTGACAACAAGTATATTTCACTCGTGTGGCTAATATTTTTATTAGCACAGCACACTCATATATATTTGGTATTGTTCATTTCGCGAATTAAATGTTTTGCTGGACTTTGCCAGAATAATAAATTAAGGTATTTACAAAATGCAAGTGATTTTCAGTAATTGCTACGATTAAAAACTTTCTTCCTTGTGTCTTCGACTGTTTGAGAAAAAACATATTCTTCTGGATAAGACATGAGACATCACTATGCATGGAATGCCAATCTTTCTAGAGCACCTGGACCCGTATTCATGAAACCTTTCTCATGTTCAAACGCAAATTCTGGCGTCAAACTTAATCTCGTATCCCTGTGATAAATAATTTTGGAGAACCTTCGAGAGACTTGAAGCCGAATACAAGTTTCAATGATGGCTTGGTTTTTCATCATGTTGCCTGGTTTAAGCAAGATATAACAAAGGATGAGTGTCTATAAGGCCTTTTGTTGGGCCCCGGTATATTCAGATTTTCACCTCCTTATTTTGTTCAAAGATGTCCTATTGTTTGACATGCGGAAAAACTAAGGTAAAACTTTGACCGAAATTGGATTTCTGGGGGGTATCAAAAGGGGTAGGGTAAATCACAAATATAGTTTGCTGTTTTCAAAATGGGCTTAAAACCAAAATAATACCATTTCTGTTTTTGAAAACATGTATAAATTAGACAAGTATATGTAACAGAATGAACAAGAGGCCCAGAGGGCCTGTATCGCTCACCTGGATATCTCAGCAATCATGGCAAAATATTCTCCAAATGAGATCCAATGGAATATGCCAGACCCCAAGGCCAATCCTTGTAGCATATCTGTATTAGATTTTTCATGCCCAGCAATTTTATGTATGGTTACAGGGTGGGGATCTCAAGATGTGACTAAGAAACTAGGTCCCTAGGGGTTCGGTCAGACCCCAGGGTCTATTCTAATATCATGATTGCATTCGTCTCTTTATGCCCAGCATTTGTATGTATAGTTTTGGGGATGGGATCTCAACTGATTCAAAGTTATGACCCAGGGACTATGTCTCCAAGGGTGGGGCCAGACCCTAGGGAAGCAACTGTGCATTCTTCTCTTTATACTCAGCAATAGTTTATATGGTTATACGGTGGGAATCTCAACCATTTCCAAGTAATAAACTTTTTTGGCTCCAGTCCTAATAGCCTGGGGGGTCAGCCCCAAAATTTGTACAATTTTGAATCCCTTTCTCCAATGAATGCTTCCAAATATGGTCGATATCCATGGCACAGTTCTACAGAAGAAGTTGATTAAAGCAATATAGCCAAATTGCCTGCTTTTGGCCCCGCCCCTCAGCCCCCTTGGGGATCAGCCCCACCATTTGTACAATTTTGAATGCCCTCCACCTAGGGATGATTCCAGTCAAATATGGTTGATATCCATCGCTTAGTTCCAGAGAAGAAGTTACTTAAAGCATTATAGCCAAATTGCCCCTTTTTGGCCCCGCGCATCAGCCCTACCATTTGAACAATTTTGAATCCCCACCACCTAGGGATGCTTCCAGTCAAATATGGTTGATATCCATCTCTTAGTTCCAGAGAAGTCACTTAAAGCAATATAGCCAAATTGCCCGCTTTTGGCCCCACCCCTCAGCCCGGCCCCTGGAGGGTCAGCCCCACCATTTGTACAATTTTGAATCACCACCACCTAGGGATGCTTCCAGTCAAATATGGTTGATATTTGTCACTTAGTTCCAGAGAAGAAGTCATTTAAAGCAATATAGCCAAAAAACCCTATTTGGCCCCACCCCTCAGCCTCCTGGGGGGTCAGTCACACCATTTGTACAATTTTCAATCCCTGCCTCCCATGAATGCTTTTGATCAAATATGATTGATATCCAGTGCATAGTTCTACAGAAGAAGTTGTTTGTAGCAATAAAGCCAAATTGCCCCCTTTTGGCCCCGCCTCTCAGCCCCCTGGGGGGTCAGCCCAACTATTTGTACAATTTTGAATCCCCACCACCTAGGGATGCTTCCAGTCAAATTTAGTTAAATTCCAATCAGTGGTTAAGAAGAAGAAGTCGTTTAAAGCAATTGTTGACGTACAGACGACGGACGATGGACGGACGACGGATGCCACGGTATGGCATAAGCTCACCTTGGTCCTTCGGACCAGGTGAGCTAAAAATGACAGAAATTCAATCATCACTTAAAGATTGTTTATATAAAACGAAGGATTAAGACAGGGGGTTGTTTTAGGTAATTTCCAAATGAAAAATGTTTTGATTTCTCAATAATATCCTTTCTAATTAAAATTTTGACTTGAATTTTACAACTTTACTCATTTAAGTAGACTTACATCATACATACTTTACTTATGTTTTATAAGAAGTTATGGCTTCTGGACACATATCAAACTTGGCTATTTCTAATATCTCTCAATCTTAACTGAATTAAAAAGTAGAGGACACCCTTTATATGCTATAAGTATAAGATATCAATTGTTAGTATTGTATATTATATATAATATTTACTCAACACCTGTGGCTGAAGTGAGTTCAAGGTCCTGATTTGTTTTTTTTTACTTATCAAAATTAAATTACGAATCAAAAATGGCATTTGCCACCACAACTACTGTAAAATGATTGATTAAATATATGAAGGTTGATTTGCTGGTAGATTTAAGTCTCCTAGCCGCAAGGAAAGTATATGCTTTGATCGTTTAAGTTAACCGATGTCATTGTTTTATCAAATGTTCTGCCTAATCGTTTGACACGCAATATTCTAGACATTAATATATTGGCGATAATACCACAGCATTTAGGTTACTGGATAAGAGTTCTTTAAATGTGAAAATTAGAATGAAAATAACGTCTATTTAATAAAATGAATTAATACTAAAAGAACGTGCGTCTTTAAATCACTTCATGTCTTCATCAACAAACTCAGCCGATCTTCATTAGGACCTTCTAGGCGGGCATATAGTTGTGCTGTCATGTACATTTTCTTGTATCGAAGAAAAGCACCAATACCCTGAAAAAGAATATACAGGTTTTCAGTCAATTGTTCCCGGTAGAATAAATAATAAAAAAGTCTTTTGTTTACAGCTGTATTTGAAATTAGATAAAACAAAGAGAGGGTTGTATCATGACGTTAGAAGTGAAGAATTTGATCATTTTAAGTGAAATATAACGTCATTATATCACATGTATTGTATAACGTAGCTGTGTATGTTGATGGTTGTGTTGGTGTGGAGGAATTCTGACAACATCATTATTTACAATTCGAGATATATTTAAAAGAGGAAGGCTTGCATTTAATTAGTCCCCATAATTGGTACGAAACAGGAAACCTAGGTAGTCACCAAATAAAACAAAGAACAGAAGGAACCGAGGAGGTTACCAAAACAAAAAAGAGCAGGAATTGAGGTCAACAAAACAAAATGAATAAAAAAAACCAGAAACCGAGGTAGACACCAAATCAAAAAGCAGGAACTGGGGTAGTCACCAAAACAAAATGAAACTAGAAATTGTTGGCTAACAATTTGACGGGCTTTTCACTGTAAGGGTTACTTCCCTTACACCAGTAGTAAAAGTCCTGGTATTTGTTAAAATTACATGTTCGAATTTGACCTCTCTCAAATACCGGAAGTTGATCTTTAATGGTCATTTGTGTCAGTAAACATTGTAGCCCATCATCCTAGCATGCTACAGACCAAATATCAATACCCTGGTCATTTTCGTTTTTGAGAAGGATTCTTTTGAAGATTTTAACATAATTGACACCAGTGACCTTGAACATGGGTCAAGCTCATTCATATTTTCAAACTTGATAGTCCATTGCTTGAGCATGAATATTCAATAAATATTATGACATTGAGTCACTTGGTTTTTGAGAAGAAGTTTTTTTGAAGTTTGTTTCACAGAATTACACATTCGAACTTTGACCCCTACCGAAAACCGAAAGTTGACCTTTAATGGTCATTCTTGTGCATACACATGGTAGCCCATTCCCTCAGCATACTATAGGCCAAATATCAATACACTGGGCATCTTCTTTATTGAGAAGGAATCTTTTGAAGATTTTAACATAATTGACCCCAGTGACCTTGAACATGCGTGAAGGTCATTCATATTATCAAACTTGATAGTCCACTGCTTGAGCATGATATCCAATAAATATCATGACCTTGGATCACTTGGTTATTGAGAAAAAGATTTTTGAAGTTGTTACCCTGAAATAGCACATATGAAATTTGACCCCTAAATAACTCAAAACTGGACCAGGTCAACTCAATTTTTTTTCTGCCAAAAATATGCGCATTATTGCTGTCCACATCATACCTGAATATAAAGTGAGTCTTACAAACAATTTTCGAAATATTCTTTATTAAAAATTTTTTTATTATTTTTAAACATTTGACATTGGTGACCTTGATAGTCAATCAAGGTCAGACATTTTTTTAAAACCTGATACCCAATCATCTCAGCATTATAAATATGAAATATCAAGACTCTAGGCCTTGTGAAACTTTAAGATTTTTTAAATTTGTTGCCATATAGTGCATTTGAACTTTGACCCCTACCCCTACAGAGAAAATGACTGTAATACCTCCGAGTCTGGAGAAGAAGATTTTTGAAATATTGGCTAATTTTCCATTTTGGGCCCCGCCCTGGCCCCTAGGGTTGGGGTAGGAATCCCAATTTTACAATTTAAAACCATCTTCCTCCTCCAAGGATAATTCTCACCAAGTAAAAATAATTTCCAACAGAAAATTGTCAAAATATACCCAAAAGTGTTGTTTCCCTATATAAACTATAGTAAACTTTACCCCCTCCCCAAGGGAGAACGGATAGCTCGGGGGTCCTGAAATTTACAATTAAAATAAAGGCCCTGATGATCTTTCCATCCATGCAGAGAAAATGACTGTAATACCTCTGAGTCTGGAGAAGAAGATTTTTGAAATATTGGCTAATTTTCCCCTTTGGGCCCCGCCCTGGCCCCTAGGGTTGGGGTAGGAATCCCAATTTTACAATTTAAAACCATCTTCCTCCTTCAAGGATAATTCTCACCAAGTAAAAATAATTTCCAACGGAAAATTGTCAAAATATACCCAAAAGCGTTGTTTCCCTATATAAACTATAGTAAACTTGACCCCCTCCCCCAGGGAGAACGGATAGCTCGGGGGTCCTGAAATTTAAAATTTTAATACAGCCCCTGATAATCTTTCCATCCATGCAGAGAAAATGACTGTAATACATCTGAGTCTGAAGGAGAAGATTTTTGAAATATTGGCTAATTTTCCCTTTTGGGCCCCGCCCTGGCCCCTAGGGTTGGGGAAGGAATCCCAATTTTACAATTTAAAACCATCTTCCTCCTTCAAGGATAATTCTCACCAAGTAAAAATAATTTCCAACAGAAAATTGTCAAAATATACACGAGGGGTGACAGAGAAAACATACTATAGTGATGACAGAGAAAACATACCCTAGTGATGACAGAGAAAACATTCTATAGTGATCACAGAGAAAACATACACTAGTGATTACAGAGAAAACATTCACTAGGGGCGACAGAGAAATCATACCCTAGGGGTGACATAGAAAACATACTGTAGGGGTGACAGAGAAAACAAAACTAGGGGTGACAGATAAAACATACACTAGGGGAAACAAAGAAAACATACCCTAGGGGTGACAGATAAAAGATACCCTAGGGGTGACAGAGAAAACATACCCTAGGGGTGACAGAGAAAACATAAACTAGGGGTGACAGATAAAACATACACTAGGGGTGACAGAGAAAACATACACTAGGGGTGACATAGAAAACATACACTAGGGGTGACATAGATAACATACCCTAGGGGTGACAGAGAAAACATACAGTAGGGGTGACAGAGAAAACATACACTAGGGGTGACAGAAAAAACATACACTAGGGGTGACATAGAAAACATACACTAGGGGTGAGAGAGAAAATATACACTAGGGGTGACAGAGAAAACATACCCTAAGGGTGACATAGAAAACATACCCTAGGGGTGACATAGAAAACATACACTAGGGGAAACAAAGAAAACATACCCTAGGATTGACAGAAAAAACATACACTAGGGATGACAGAGAAAATATACACTAGGGGTGACATAGAAAACATAACATAGGGGTTGACAGAGAAACATACCCTAGGGGTGACAGAGAAAACATACCCTAAGGATGACAGAGAAAATATACACTAGGGATGACAGAGAAAAATATACACTAGGGGTTACAGAGAAAACATACACTAGGGGTGACATAGAAAACATACCATAGGGGTGACTGAGAAATCATACCCTAGGGGTGACAGAGAACCATACACTAGGGGTGACAAAGAAAACATACTCTAGGGGTGACATAAAAACCTTCCCTAGGGGTGACATAGAAAATGTACACTAGCGGTGACAGAGAAAACGTATTATAGTGATTACAGAGAAAACATACTCTAGGGGTGACATAGAAAACATACCCTAGGGGGTGACAGAGAAAACATACCCTAGGAGTGACAGAAAACATACCCTAGGGGGTGACAAGAGAAATCATAGCCTATGTGTGACATAGAAAACATACCCTTGGGGTGATAGAGAAAACATACCCTAGTGGGTGACAGAAAACATACCCTAGGGGGTGACATAGAAATCATAACCTATCGGTGACATAAAAAACATACCCTAGAGGTGATAGAGAAAACATACCCTAGGGGGTGACAGAAAACATACCCTAGGGGTGACAGAGAAAACATACCCTAGGGTTGACAGAGAAAATATACCCTAGTGATGACATAGAAAACATACCCTAGGGGGTGACAGAAAAAAAACATACATTAGGGGTGACAGAAAAAACATTCCCTAAGGATAACAGAGAAAACATCCCAAAGGGGCAACAGAAAAATCATACCCTAGGGATGACAGAGAAAAAAATTGCTAAGGCTGACAGAGAAAACATACTATACGAATGACAGAGAAATCATACCCAATGGTTGACAGAGAAACTATAATAGCCTAGGGGGTGACAGAGAAACTGTAATAGCAGAGGGGGATGACAGAAAAATCATACCGTTGGGTTGCCAGAGAAAACATACCCTAGGGGTCGACAAAGAAAACATATCCTAGGGATGACAGAGTAAACCTACCCTAGGGGTGATAGAGAAAACATACACTAGGGGTGACATAGAAAACATACACTAGGGGTGACAGAGAAAATATACACTAGGGGTGACAGAGAAAACATACATTAGTGGTTGACATAGAAAATATACACTAGGGGCGACAGAGAAAACATACACTAGGGGTAACAGCGAAAACATACCCTAGGGGGTGACATAAAAAACATACACTAGGGGTGACATAGAAAACATACACTAGGGGTGACAGAGAAAATATACACTAGGGGTGACAGAGAAAACATACACTAGTGGGTGACATAGACAAGATGCCCAAGAGGGCCTGTATCGCTCACCTGAATACTAGGGGTGACAGAGAAAACATACACTAGGGGTAACAGCAAAAACATACCCTAGGGGGTGACATAAAAAACATACACTAGGGCTGACATAGAAAACATACACTAGGGGGGACAGAGAAGAGATACACTAGGGGTGACAGAGAAAACATACACTAGGTATGACATAGAAAATTCTCATACTTTGTTAGGCTCTATCCCAGGAAGCCACCAGCCAAATATAAAGATTATATACCTTTCAGTTCTTCAGAAGAAGTCGTTTGAAGTGTCTGACACATTTGACTCCTGTGACCTTGAAAGAAGGTCAAGGTCATTTTCATTCTCAAACTTTGTTGGGCTCTATCCCAGGAAGCCATCAGCCAAATATGAAGATTCTATACCTTTTAGTTCTTTAGAAGAAGTCGTTTGAAATTTTTGACATATTTGGCCCCTGTGACCTTGAAAACAGGTCAAGGTCATTTTCGTTCTCAAACTTTGAAGGGCTCCTACCAACGAAGCTTTCAGCCAATTATCATGACTCTAGGTCTGTCC